ATGGCGGGCGAAAAGCTCGAGAAGAACGTTCTTTGTATAAAAAGTTATTTGCATAAACAACAATTTGAACTTTTAATAACATTTTTTTATTTTTTATTTCATAATTTTTTAACTCACTTTTGGTTAGAAATAAATTTCGAAAATACTTATTTATTTTTTTCGATGTAAGTTGGAATAAATTCGAAAAGTACCTATTTGTTTGATTCATGCCGGATAATACATTTGTACAGAAACAGCTAATAATAACGTCCTAATGTAAAAGTAAAAAGTAACGCTTCAGTAATGACACGCGACCACGAACAAATGTTGCAAAATGATCATGAATCAGTACTGGTAATAGATAATGGGCCAGTGCTGGTAAGCGATCGCGAGCCAGTGCTGGCAAATGATCCCGGGCCAGTGCTGGCAAACGATCGCAGGCCAGTGGTGGCAAACGATTGCGGGCCAATGCTGGCCCTTGACAGCGGGCCATTGCTGGTCCAATGGCCGTTTTAATGCAGACCCGTGATCGGTAGCCGTCATCGCGCCAGAATCGCAAGCGGAACTGGGCCAGCATTGGGCCGCTAGCGGGAGGCTGTCTGGGTAGTTATTTCAAATAAGTTAGCTTTATCTATTTGATATATTTTATAAAAGCGTTTCCGTAAAAAAACTCTTACAAGGTTTATTTTGTTATTGCAACTAAATGTTATACTTTGGTTTGTATAAATGTTTGGTTATTACACTTTGGTTTGTATAAATGTTATGCTGATATCATATCAGCATAACATTTATACAAACAGTTTAATTGTTAATATAAAATATATTAACAATTAAACTGTTTTAACTGCGAAAATAGCTGTGGTGACCCGCACAATACGGGTCGCGACAACCCTATTCCACATACGGTTATTTCCAAACTTGTTCATAGTTAGGTCTCCATACCTTAAGTAAAAGCAAAAAATTAGTCGATATAAAATTTTTTATTTTTGTTAAACAATCGACTTAATATACTTTAGAAACTGTACTGATTAACTTAATGTACTCCAATATTTCATACATAAAAGAATCTTTAACATAATAGAGATAGTTGCGTAACATTTCTTCAGGTGTTTTTGAAAACTTAGGCTGTAATCAAGATTTTACCCTCTCATCAAGATTTATTTAAAAATCAAATTTGGACATTAGAAAACGGGCTTAAGAGACTTGTTATTTTAAATAAGTTAACTTTATCCGTTTGATACTTTTTATAAAAGTGTTGCTGTAAAACAGAAAACTGTTAACAAATTCATTCAATTAAGCTGTTTTTACATCCGAAGTTATTAAACATGTTGTTTGTGCAAAAAATCGATAATTACTGCAAATGGAAACTTCGATGACAAAATGCAATTTAAGTATAAATGGTTTCTGTTCATATACATAAAAAGCAACAAAAATATAAAAAACAAAGTAAAAATAATCAATATATCTATTTGAAACAATAAATCCAAAAATAAAAAAAATATAGATATTTACTTATGAAACAAAAATAATATTTTTTTTAAGATAAAATAAAAATATAAACTTATAAAAATTATTTTATTTAATATAAAAATTACAAAAAAGTATTATATTTAATAAAAAGTAACAAAAATACTTAAAAACAATTTAAATTGAAACATTGTTTCATTATTATTAGGCTTTGGGTAAGCCATAATCAAGTCAGCCATTAGAAGAAGAACTCGACCTAAAAATGGAGCAAAATCATTTTAAACACATAATACACCTTAATTACAAATTATTGTGTCATGCTATCATTTAATTTTTTTAAAAACTCAAATATGCCAATGAGTGGATAAAAAACTTACTTTTTATTTTTTCCATAACCCTGACTGATCAACATGAATGTGAGCTAAGCATATTAGCATAAAACATCACAACAGTTGATTAAATAGTAGAACATGTTACAGTTAACTCTAGATAACCCATACCTTTAAAGGACAAAGAAATTAGTTTAGTTTAAAGAAAATTAGAGTTATTGGGAGTATAATACATATAAAATAGTTTAACTGGAATTTCAAAATTAGTTTATAGTGTTGAGGGTTGAGTTATCGTGAGTTTATTGAACATATTTGAACTACTAACTGCACACACTTATAAAAAACATACATAAACATTTAAAAAACATAAATCTTTTACGTTATATAACATATATATATATATATATATATATATATATATATATATATATATATATATATATATATATATATATATATATATATATATATATATATATATATATATATTATAATTAACGTATAGGAAATAACACATAATAAGCAATTACCACATCATGAAACATAATAATTATCAAAAGCCATTACAAACGTCACATTTTAAAAATGAAATATTATTTGTGTAATATACATTCAATGACATACCTTGTAGTGCATGTTAATCAAAGTTTTACAATAAATTATAAAATGTCTTGGTTCTGGATCATACTCATAGATATTTAAATTACTGGATACAGTGTAGACATCTCTGACCATATAATTTTGGAAAATATTTTGAAGCCGAGCGGCCTTTGAAAAAGGGACGTAGAGTGAGGCAAAACAATTTTATACAAATTCGTAAATAGTAGTTTAATAAAAGTAATATGTGATATAATATATGAATTATAAAGCATATTACTGTTATAAAAAGTTTGTTAAAAGTACTATGTATTAATAAGTTTAAAGACAATTTATTTAATGAGCATTTATAATTTTAATCATTAAGTTATTACCCTCATGACTTGAGCCTATTAACAATTTATAAGCATCACTTGAGTCAAGACACCTGAAGATTTGATAATAAACAGTTATTTAAAGTAAAGTTGTACTAGCAAATAAAATATACAGTCTAAAGTTTGGCATTATACTCTTATTGAATATTGATTTGGGTTCAAAAAAATGGTGTTTTCAGAAGACTGACTAATCATATTTATATACATCTATATCTATGTATATTATATTTACTATAATATTCACCTATATTTATGTTTCAAATACATGTTTGGAATATCGTATATTGACAAAGTACTTAATTTCTTGGATCAAGGTTTTTTTTTTTTTTAGTGTTATTCTTGAAAAAATATATATATATATATATATATATATATATATATATATATATATATACATATATATATATATATATATATTTATATATATATACATATATATATATATATATAATATATATATATATATATATATATATATATACACAAATACATATATATATATATATATATATATATATATATATATATATATATATATATATTATATATATATATATATATATATATATATATATATATATATATATATATATATATATATATATTTTAAATATGGAGTAGATTTCATAAAAGTTGTAGTTCATTGTTTTTCAATTTGTCTGGAATGCTATGTCCAATAAACTTTGCAACAAAAGAACAAATTACAATAACATCTTATGATAGATGAAGAAGACCACCTCTGCTTTTTTGATCAACAAGTAAACTTTGTGAATTATCATCAGTAAGAAATGCAGTACAGGCCTTACATTTAATAGATCTTTTTAGTTTTCTACTAACAAATCCACCTATATATTTCACCACTTCTTCAGAATATTCAGACAATTGTGATGGTTCCATAATACTTACTGGTGTAGCATCCTCATTAGTTATAAATAAAGTTGAATCATCATCATTAAATTTACATTCCTGATGATTCACAATTCTGTTTGTTACAGAAAGTATTTCTGCAGCATCCTGAGCTAAACAATTCCAGTTTTTATGTTTCGTAATGAGTGATGTACTAACAAACGCCGATACGTTGTCATAAACTGTTTTGCTGATGGATTGTTATTAAAACCACCTTGACTTCTAATAGCACTAAAGAACATTTCAATATGATCTTGACTCAGTTTGTATGTCAACAAGAATTTAAATTGGCTTTTTAGAGATAAAATCAAGTATCGGCTCAGTTGAATTACTGATTGAAGGCTAAACATAAATCCAATGAAGCCAGTTTTTCTATTTGTTTTATAAATTAAGTTATCAGCACTGTCTGTCAAACTGGACAAGTACTGACATATCATATTGACAAAATTTGTGCAGTGTTCCAAACTGCTTAAAAAAATAGGAGCTTTATAATTTTTACCAATAAATTTTCGACTGTTTAGTAAATCAAAACTTTTGTCTATAAGCTAAATAAAATTGATAGTTGGTCCACAATCTTGAAACTCTTTTAATTTTAACTTGTTTGCACAAAAATCAAGAGCATCTGCAACACTTTGACTTAAGATTTGTGCTGCCAATTTAACTTTCATTTCAAGTCAGCACCAAGAATTTTCATCATAGATAAATTTGCAGCTGTATCATCAAAAGTTAAAGAAATAACTTGAACTCCAGTTTCATGAACTTTGACGAGGCATTCAGAAATAATGTTTGCTTTCTCTTTTGAATTAAGTCCATCTCTTAAAAAATATGCTATTGGGATCTTCCAATGTCCATTAACAGCATAAAACAAAAGCTTCTTTAGCAACACCAACACTGTCATCGTTAAAACCTGTTCCATAATTAACAAAGCCATAAGATTTATGCCCATCCCAATCAATTTGCTTTCGAATTGACATTTCGTCCATTATCAAACAGCATACAATTTTTTTGTTAGATTCATTATTTTTTAGTTTTAATATTTGGAATGCTTCTTGAGTAAAGCCTGGCTGTCCATTAATACTACTATACCATTTTCTCAAAGTATTTGGGTGAGGAAGACAAGTGTCGAAGGACTGTCTGACATAATCATAAGCTTTTGCTGAATAAAAATGCAATGTTAATGCAAAAGTTCGCAATGACGGAGAGTATTTTAATTTGCTTCATCACTAATTAAACGTTTTTCTTGTTACTCATTGATCACATTTTGAAGTCTGAGTCTGCGCTTTTGTTGCATTACACATTTGATACGTTTTTTGTGTAGTTTATAAGCATTTAATACAAAAGACAACTTCTAGTTGACAGTTTGCAAGTTGTCTAAATCAGTTTCCATGCAATTTTCTACACTCGTTTTTTTCTTTGTACTAATCACCTTTTCTTCATAAGTATTCTCAAAAACTGTGTCATTTTTTTCTTTTTCTATCTGTTTTTTCAGCATTCTTTCTGTTGCTTTTCGAATTTTACTAGTGGTTGGTTTTAAATGTTTTAAAAAATCAAAAATTGTTGGTATTGCATCAGGTTTCAGATATTTTCTCAAACAGTAACCTAATGTTTTGCTTTCATCAAAGCAATTTTTAGAAAAATGATCAGAACAAATAAAACTAGCAGAAGTGGGGATAAAATTCATTCGCTTTGTTGCAAGAACCCATGCTGCTTTTTTATCTGGATTGACAGGAAATCTATTTAAAAATGCATAGCTAGAATTCATTATACATACAGTGTTTGTTTTTTAAAACCAACATAATAAGTTTCTATTGATTCTTCAAAAACAAAATGTTTTCATTATATAAATACTAAATTCTTACCTATGAAAACTTCTGAAGACCCCTTTAGCAGATCTAGCTGTACACCCAAAAGCACTGCACGAATTAACCATTTTAAAACAAGTACTAAATCTTTAAATATATTGCACATAAATATATATGTATATTATAGATAAATATATTATACATAAATATAGATGTATAATTTTATATTAAATGTTAGTTTCAAAGCTCCATATAAATCTTGCATTATACAACATTATACAAGTTCATTAGGTAATTCCTGGTATATTATTTTAATCAAATTATTATATACATTGCAGTATTTGAAAAGCTTTTTTTTTTTTTTGGATTTTTAAAATCTTATAATTTTGAGTCAGCTAAGATTTATTTTATTAAGTTCATCTGTAAATAAAATATATATAAACTATAAATGAATTCAAATTCCTTCGAAATTATTGTTTTATGAACTATACAATAGAAAATATAACTTTAAATTATAATTTAATGTTAAATAATTTACGCTGATTAAACGATATTTTCTGCCTCACTCTACGTCATCAAGGCAAAGTTTACCCAGCTTCAATTATTTCTGCCTATGCTGTATCCATTAATTTATATATCGATGATCATACTACATAGAGTTTGGTTGTGTGAAAACCAAGTCACTTCGAGATTAGCATTAACTTTATAAAAAATGTTTGAACGTAACTTTTATTTCTTGTCCATTAGTATTGTTAATAAAAGTGCCTTTATTCAAATGATTTAATTTGATAGCATTAACATTAATGGGAAAAATTAAAAAACAACACACAAATAATGTAACAAAAGTATATCTAAAAAAAAATTACAAAAAAAAAGTAAAAAACAGTTGTAATTAATATTATATAATATTATTATATACAAAAAAAATAAAAAAATAAAAAACAGTTGTAAATAATATCTTTACATTTTAGATTTACAACTGTTGTGGCTCAACAGTTGTAAATCTAAAATGTAAAGATATTTTTTACAACTGTTGCGCCACCCCTTCTCCTCCCAGCACCATCTCTTTCCCTGGTGTTGTATGGGATGCCATCCCTCTATTTAAGGTGGCTCTATGGTTAAAAAAATAACTTCTGGATTTTAATGATAAATGTTTCCAAATAAGTTTAAAAGAAACGAATAATTTCTTTTAACAACAAATACACTTTAAAAAATTATAAAAAACTTTTTATTTTGCCGAGTCAGCAAAAAATAAGTAAAATATAAAGACACTTTAAAAACTTTATAATTCCTAAAATATAAATCTAATGAACTTAAAAATTTCAGAATACCTTTATGATTTCAACACAAAGAGACTGTAGCAGAATTTTTTTATAAAAATTTGTATATCAAAAATGGCGAAACTTAAAATAATATCATCAGTTTCGTGTTATTCTGCTACAGTCCCTCAAGTAACTGTTAAGGAGCACTCCTTGAAAATTTCAAGTTGATTGCTTTAATACTTTTTAAATAAACCCATTTTTGGTTTTGAGTAATATCGAAAAAACAATTCTATAAAAACGCATTTAAAAAACATAATAATATTTTTAAATATTTTCCTGGAGGGTAAGATTTTCCACCTTTAATATCTTTCTTTTTAGTAATATGTCCCTTTTTGACACCTTTTAGAATTTTTTTGTCCTTTTTAAAAGCTTCAGAAGATTTTATTTTTAAATGACGTTGACGGTGGCTGTCTATTTTACACGAACTATAATTACCAACATTCCATCATTGAAACCAACATTCCATCATTGAAATGAATAACAGCTGAAGCTACACCAATATCTAAAACCTCTTTGCAAACAAATACATCTTTAGGACACCTTTGCCAAATTATTTGATTAAATGTTCATTTGAAATTTGGGTAGTACCATGTAAACATCGTTTTAACAAATTTTCAGAGTATAAATTAATAAAAATTGGTTTTATTGCATTATGAATAGGTGATGGTTTGTTTACAGGAGATATACGAGAACTACTTTCACTTAAAATGTACACCAACTATTATTTAGTCTAGAACAAAATTGATGACGAATGTTACTATCTGTCATATTTGTACAATGCCATAACACTGCAAGTACAGACTTCTCCATATTGTAAAGTGCCTTTACTTTGTCACCATCCCAACAGTCTGAAGTGTTTTGTCTAATAGCCATTCCAAAATAATTTTGCATTCTATTGATTATTTTATCTGTTAGTCTACCTTTCCCAGATATTATTTTCGTGTCCAATAATGTTTTTTTTTCATATCTGTTCACAGCTGGCGAAGACGTGTTCCAAGATGTTTTTAAACATAGGCAACACATTCTATCTTTTGAGGTAATAGATTTTTCCTATATGGTTTGGATTCAAGAACTTTTTTAAAGGACTCAGTATCTCCATCCCCAATATAGTGAGCATATCGTAAATTATATTTTTTTATAGAATCTTGAAAAAATTACACTGCGCCTGCTGATTCCATTCTGCCAGATGATCCATTATGATTCACTTTACACTTGTGTTCCTTTTTAGTGTTGGACTTCCTCTGCCTTGCACAAAAAGAACAGAACTTAGTGTATACAAAATAGTCTCTAACTTTTTTGTTAACAGGAAAAGCCGCTGTGTTTACACTATTAAGCGAAGAATGTCCTCTTTTTTGCCAAGACCCATCTATTGCAACATCAGTGTCTAAAATATCATTATCAGTTGCATTGTTATTTATAGATCTTTGAACGTTATTAACCGCCTGCTTCATACTCATGTGAGCAGATATGTAAATATCGTGAAGTTTTTCATTTATATCTCTATATGATGCCACAGTCATAGTTGGACACATGTTCATCATGGTATTAAATGTTTTCATAGCTTTGTGGCCTTTTCCTATCTCTTGAAAAGCAATAACTGCTCTGTAGTTAACTTCAAAAGGCTTATGCCCTCTTTTTTCATTATTTGGAGACTCAAACTGCTTAGAACTAAAAAAAGAGTGTTTTCATTTACAAAATTTACAGCTTATTAGCAGTTGTAGAGCATATCCTAATCGAGCATCAGATAAGGGCTTAAGCTCAATATCTTTACTAAAGCATTGATTACAAGCAAGAAATGAAACAAGTGATTCCTGTAGAACTTTCATATTTATAAAAAAATAGAAATCGTTTATATCCCTACAAGTTTTAAATTCATTAAAAGTTTTGTTATACAGAGTATATGTTTGAAATTCAGTTGATACAGGTGAACCAATTTTGCTTGATAATGTTAATACATTGACATGCTGATTTCCACGAAATTCTCTTTTCTTTTTCTTATTTAAACTTTTTTTTATTAGCCATCTTAACAAAACATTCAAGTAAAATACTTCTAATAATATACTAAGTCTGAAAGTAATTCACAACCACTCATAAATTATCAAACTTTGGGAATGGTTATTTCTGCATGATTGCTCTTTCAAAACATGACTTTTAACTTGAAAATATAAAGGTATATTTACACTATCAAGTTTTTAGGTTGCAAAAGCAATTAGATACTGAAAACTTAATTTAGTTGACTTAAAAAACAAGAAATAACCATTGCTAAGGGCGTTGCTATAGATGCTGAAAAGACTGTACCTTAAAAAAATAGAAACTACTCATAATACATGATTTGAATGTATATAAAGATTTATATTTTCTGAATCTAGATTAAATTTTGAATAAGAAAACATAATATTTTTTTTTTTTTGATTTTTTATTGTTTTTAACCATAGAGCCACCTTAAAGGAACTTATACCAGGATAGAACGCCCTCTGGGATAGAGGACCGGGATGCTGGGAGCGATATTTTTGAATATCTTCCCATGATTTCGAGTTAAACTACCAAGGTGATAATTACAAAAAATCTACTATAAAAAAATAAAAGTAATAAATGTATTAAAGTACAAGTGAGCACAACAACTTATTACTTGACTTATTACATTAACTGATTAAACTGGAAAACATATCTTTAGCTATATTAAAAAACAAAATGTACAATAAAGTTAAATATCCTAATGGCAAGTACAAAAACTTACTTTTTGAATTTGAAGACATAGCAACTGAAATGAAATACAAAAATTAAAAATATAATAAAATTAACCAGTCAATCTAATAAGTCAAGTATAAGTGAATAAAAAAAACTTGTACCAAAAGAAGCAGCAGCTAGGTATAAATAGAATAAAATAAAAAATGCAATAAAACCAATCAATTAATATAATAAGTCAGGTGTAAGTAAATGTTGGCTCCCTGTGATTGCTTTGATTATCTAGACTGAATAGTTGTTTATATTATTAAAATGGCAGAGAAACACCATGCTCTCTTTTTAGAATTTTTCCACCAAGCATCCATGGCATCGCTCCAACACTAATTATTTTCTATTTTAAGGTTACTATTTAAAGATTCAATTACACAAGCTATGAGTGAAGACTGCAGTAGGCAATAAGACAATTCCAATTTAAGAATGGATATAAGTTTTAACGGAGAGATCTTTGTTTTGCTAGCAACAAGTCTGCCAAGGACCTGTTTCTCGGGAGTTTAGGCAGTTATAAAAACTACAGCTTCATATGCACTTTTGCTGGCGTCACAAAAGCCATGTATAGTTATGTTAGTTTTTAATTAAATATTCTTTAAAGGAACAACGATGCCACTCATACACAAGATTACAAAATAAAAACTGCATTAACTGGCCCCACTCCCTTTTCAACTCGTCATTTAGCTCCTTGTTCTAATCTTTTATTGTAGTGCATATTTTTTAAAAAATGAACTTTAGTGGTAAATTTAAAGTAAAAATGATTCCAATTGGGTAATATATAGATGCAATAATTTTTAGAACATTTCTCTTTGTGACTCTTTCATTTGTTCCAACTTCATATTGTTTAGTTAGATTAATTGACAATTTATCATGACCAGTGTTCCATGTGAAGCCTAGGATTTTAC